GCATCGCGGAGGATGTTTTTTTCGATGTGAACAGTTTCAGCTTTGTATAGCTCCTTTACCTGATAAAAGTATAACATAAGTTAACTCAATAATCTCCTTTTCTCTCCTAATTTCCGATTCCTGGGTTGAATTTTACTACCAATTGAAATGTAAGCGCGAAATCCAAAACCATGAGTTGAAACCTTATTAAATGCGGACTCTCCTCCTTCCCTTACACCGTAGCAATACGTTTTGGCTCGCAGAGGTGCAGCAACCCTAAAAATATGATTATTAAAGACCAATTTTTGCTAAAGAGATACTTACGTAGAACATTGACTTGCTACTGCATCCTTGCTCTGACATTTTTGAAGAACTTGCGTATCAAAGATACTTTTGAATTTCGCAATACAGTCCTGAGAGCCAAGCGAACAGTATGCTTCTATCACGGCTTGTTCAAGAAGGCTAAATTTTGGGGTTGTAGTCCTAAGAGTCCATATACTGTTCTTCATGTTTCTTCTTTTAGTTTGTAAATAACAAATAAAAGAAGTTATTTTTCTAGAAGCTCTTCGAGTATAGGAATAGGTAATTAATCTTGAAATAATCTTTACTATTGCGATGTGAGTTTACTTAAAATGATGACAAATTTTCTTTTGTTAATTCTAAACTTTCGAAAGATGTGTTTGATAATAGAGCTCTACTCCTAACAATCTATGTTTGGTTGTGGTACGAAAAGCGCAAGTCAACTTTATCTAATGCATTATTGGTCGATCTTACGGCACCGTCCCTTAACGACTACAAAAGAAACCCGTCCCGGAAAGAAAGCAGCGTGGTTCCCAGGTCACCGGGTCACATCAAGCTTGTAAGCTAACCACAACATTCTAAATAAGGTAATAAGTGGTGATTAGATTTAAAAAGTTATGTGAAGAGTCAAAGTGACGATTTTTATGAGAGCTAGCCGAAAGCAAAAGGCCCCTACCAAACTGAACCATATAGAACATAAAGGGCAGTTGTAGTACAACACAAGTGTGGAAATGCTATGTAGAGTCTAGCCGATCGCTTTGGCCTGGGGGACCTCCTATTATTGGATCTCTCGCGCTGCTATCTTTTTAAGTGTATTGCTCAATTCCTTTCATAGCTGTTGAGGGACGTTGCCATGAGTTATGAACCAATAGCATTAGGATGATTTTGACCACTGCTCTTCCTACATTATCAAATAACTAATAACTATTACATACATCTTTGCGGAAAACCTTTCCCCTTAATAGACTTTGACTCGGTCGCTGTATGACGATTGTTAGCAGCTAAAGGAAAAGCGCGTCATTGGTTTCGAAGCTTTTCCGCTGTATGTCGGTTGTAGTTGCCGTGATCGTTTTTTTGTGTAGACAGATACTTGCTATCTAATAAGTTCTTCAAATAAGAAACAGTTATCATTCGTAAGCACGGAAATCTACGATGTCACTCTTGACTTTATATACATGAATTGTATAACTTCTGCTTTTGAACCCTCTAACAATAAATGTAAAGCAATGCTGAATTATCAACCATTCAGCATCTAAATGACCTCTTGAAAGTTTAGAGTTATAAATTTATAAAAAGTGTAAACCTTTTTAAAATATAGTTTATGTTAATTTTTTTGAGAGGAAAAATTTATAAAGAAGGAAACGAACTTTTCAAAAAACAATTTGTCATTCTTGTATTCAGCTGCAACGTGTTCGAAGCTGCTGTTCCTATAAATTGGCTCCAATAGTTTGAGCATGAACTGCTGCAAATTAACATGTCTTCCAATCTAATTTATTTGTGGAACTGTTACATACCCGAGCATATATGATCTCTGGTTCATTGCCGAAAAAGTCTAACACAATGAAAAATCCATTTAATGCTTCCGCCCAAGGCAAATAATCCTAAACAGAAAAGAAAAAACTTGTTAATTTGTTATGGTTGCTGCTTTTGACACTCGTTTCACCTTTTCAGCTGTCAGATACTGAAGCAGGTCGAAAACCGTTTCATAAGAAACTTTGTTAACGAGCGCACCTGCGAATGCATCACTGATGATAGCATTTCTTGTTCGTGTGCTGTATACCTGCAAGCATACTCATAACTTACATAATTCCAAAAGATAAACTACCAAGTTGTCGTATATATGGGTGAATTTAGCGAGTATTCTATCAGACTGCAAAATGTTGCATATT